AGTGATCAAGTTACGCCTCAACCGTCTCTTCAATACTTTGAATATGTTTAGCTCCTTGAGCCTCACATTGTAAGGCTTGTTGTCCAAACTTTGGATCATTTTTGCAGCCCTCCTTTGAATTCTCTCCGGTATTTCCATATCCTTCCTGAAGAGTGGACCCCAGAACTGGACACAGTATTCTAGTCATGATCTTACCAATACTGTGGACAGAGGCAAGATCATTTCTCTATTTCTACTTGATAGTCCCCTTTTTATACACCCAAGGATCACATTAGCCCTTTTTGCCACAGCATTGCATTGAGAGCTCATGTTGCAGAGATTATCTCTGGTGACTCCCAAGAACTTCTGAGTCACTGCTTTCCAAGACAGTCTCCTATCCAGTAGGTATAACCTGCCTTCTTGAGAATGGCCACACTGGGTCAGACCAATGGCCCATCTAGCCCTGTATTCTGTCTTCTGACAATAGACAACGCAGGCTGCTTCAAATGGAATGAACAATCATCAAGTGATCCATCCCATGCCATTCAGTCCCAGCTTATGGCAGTCAGAGGCTGAGGGACACCCAGAGCATGGGGTATTGTCTCTGACCATCTTGGCTAATAGCCATTGATGGGCCTATCCCCCAGGAACTTAACATTCTTTTTTAAATCCAGTAATAGTTTTTTTGCCTTCACTACATTCCCCGACAATGAGTTCCATGGGTTGACTGTGTGTTGTGTGAAGCAGTCGTTCCTTTTGTTTGTTTTAAACCTGCTGCCTATTGATTTCACTGGGTGACCCCCTGGTTCTTGTGTTATGTGACGGGGTCAACAACACTTCCTCATTCACTTTCTCCACACCCGTCATCGTTTTATAGACATTTATCACGTTCCCCCCGCCCTCCGCACTTAGTCCTCTCTTTTCCACGCTGAACAGTCCCAGATTTTTTATTGACTTCTCTGGCGGAAACTGTCCCGTACCCTTAATCGTGTTTGTTTTCCCTTCTCCATACCCTTTTAATTCCTCATCTATCTTTTTTGAGATGAGGTGACCAGAACTGCACGTAGTATTCAAGGCCTGGGCAGACCATGGATTTATATAGTGGCATGATATTTACTGTCTTGTTATCTATGCCGTTCCTAATGGTTCCTAACATTCTGTTAGCTTTTTGACAGCCTGTCATATATATAAAGGGAAGGGTCACCACCTTTCTGTATACAGTGCTATAAAATCCCTCCTGGCCAGAGGCAAAACCCTTTCATCTGTAAAGGGTTAAGAAGCTAAGGTAACCTCGCTGGCACCTTACTCAAAATGACCAATGAGAGGACAAAATACTTTCAAATCTGGAGCAGGGGGAACAAAGGGTCTCTCTGTCTGTGTGATGCTTTTGCTGAGAACAGATCAGGAATGCAGCCTCACAACCCCTGTTAGTTAGTAAGTAATCTAGCTAGAAATGCGTTAGATTTCCTTTTGTTTAATGCCTGGTAAAATAAGCTGTGCTGAATGGAATGTATATTCCTGCTTTTATGTCTTTTTGTAACTTAAGGTTTTGCCTAGAGGGATTCTCTATGTTTTGAATCTGATTACCCTGTAAGGTATTTACCATCCTGATTTTACAGAGGTGATTCTTTTACCTTTTCTTTAATTAAAATTCTTCTTTTAAAAACCTGATTGCTTTTTCATTCTTCTTAAGATCCAAGGGGTAGGGTCTGTGTTCACCTGTACCAGTTGGTGAGGATTCTGATCAAGCCTTCCCCAGGAAAGGGGGTGTAGGGCTTGGGGGAAGATGTCTCCAAGTGGGCTCTTTCCCTGGTCTTTGTGTAAGACACTTGGTGGTGGCAGCATACAGTTCAAGAACAAGGCAAAGTTTGTACCTTGGAAAAGTTTTTAACTTAAGCTGGTAAGAATAAGCTTAGGGGGTCTTTCATGCAGGTCCCCACATCTGTACCCTAGAGTTGAAAGTGGGGAAGAAACCTTGACACAACCGCTGCACATTGAGCAGATGGTTTCAGAGAACTATCCACAATGACTGTTTCTTAGTGCTAATAGCTACTTTAGACCCCAGCATTTTATTTATGAGAGAGAGAGAGAGAGATTAGAAAAAACAATGTGCATTACTTTGCAAAACTGAATTTCATTTGCCATTTTGCTTCTAGGTCACTCAGTTTTGTGAATTCTTTTGTAGCTCTTTGCAGTCTGCTTTGGACTTAAATATCTTGAGTAATTTTGTATCATCTGCAAACTTTTCCACCTCCCCATTTATCCTTTTTTCCAGCTCATTTTTGAATATGTTGAACAGCACTGGTCCCAGTACAGACCCCTGGGGGACAACACTATTTACCTCTCTCCATTTTGAAAACTGACCATTTATTCCTACCCTTTGTTTCCTATCTTTTAATCATTTACGGATCCATGAGAGGATCTTCCCTCTTATCCCATGATTGCTTAGTTTGCTTAAGAGCCTTTGGTGAGGGACCTTGTCAAAGGCCTTCTAAAAATCTCAGTACACTATATCCACTGGATTCCTCCTTGTCCACATGTTTGTTGACCCCCTCAAAGAATTCCAGTAGATTGGCGAGGCATGATTTCCCTTTACAAAAGCAGTGCTGATTCTTCTTCAACAAATCATGTTCATCTACGTGTCTGATAATTCTGTTCTTTACGATAGTTTCCACCAATTTGCCTGGTACTGAAGTTAGGCTTACTGGCCTATATTTGCCAGGATCGTCTCCGGAGCCTTTTTTAAAAATTGGTGCCACAATCTGCCAGGCATCTAGTATAGAAGCTAATTTAAGTGATTGGTTACATACCAGTTAACAGTTCTCCAATTTCATATTTCAGTTCCCTCAGAACTCTTGGGTGAATACCATCTGGTCCTGGTGACTTATTACTGTTTAGTTTATCAATTTGCTCCAAAATCTCCTCTATTGACACCTCAGTCTGGGACAGTTCCTCAGATTTCTCACCTAAAAAGAATGGCTCAGGTGTGGGAATCTCCCTCACATCCTTTGCAGTGGCTATCAATGATCCTTTCTATTTTCCTCAGTAGGGCTAAACTTTCAGTTTTTAAAGGATGCGTTTTGCCTCTAACCACTTTTTACTTCGCTGTTTAGCCAGGGTGGCTTTTTTTTTTGGTCCTCTTACTAATTTTTTTATTTGAGGCATATATTTAATTTGAGCCTTTATTATGGTGTTTTTTTAAAGTTTCCATGCAGCTTGCAGGCATTTCACTCTTGTGACTGTTCTTTTTAATTTCCATTTAACTAGCAACCTCATTTTTGTGTAGTTCTCCTTCATGAAGTTAAATGCTTCTTTGGTATTTCCCCCTCCACAAGGATGTTAAATTTAGTTATATTCAGCAATTCACTTTTTGCACCTCTCGGACCAGATCCTGTGTTCCATTTAGGACTGAATCAAGAATTGCCTCTTCCCATGTGGGTTACAGGACTAGCTTCTTCAAGAAGCACTCATTAAATGGTGTCTAGAAACTTTGTATCTGCGTCCCATCCAGAAGTGATGTGTACCCAGTGAATATGGGGATAGCTCAATAACGGGGGATTTAACTTTCTAGTTTTATATCCTCTCTAATATCCCTGAGCACTTCACAATCACCAGCTTGGTCAGGTGATCAGTAGTATATTCCTACTGCTATACTCATATTATTCAAGCATAGAATTTCTATCCATAGAGATTCTAAGGTACAGTTTGATTCATTTAAGATTTCTACTCTATGCTTTCTTTCACATATAGTGCCACTCCCCCACCAGCACAATATATTCTGTCATTCCTCTATATTTTGTACCCTGGTATTACAGTGTCCTATTGATTGTTATCATTCCATCAAGTTTCTGTGATGCCTATTTTAATCAATGTCCTCATTTAATACCAAGCACTCAAGTTCACTCACCTTAGTATTTAGACTTCTAGCATTCGCATACAAGGTACTTATAAAATCTGTCAAAAAGCATTTCAGAAAATGCCACCATGGATGCCTGGACTTTAATCTCTTAGGTTCCTAGCAACCTAAATTTGCCCTCCAGGACCCCTATCTTTGCTTATGTCATAGGTACCTACATGTACCAAAACCACCGGTTCCTCCCTAGCACTGCACGTGAGTCTGCCTAGGTGTCTGAAGAGATCCACAAACTTCGTAATCAGCAGGCTTTCACCCTGCTGTTCTCCCAATCATCTATATGTCTAATGATCAAATCCCCCATTACTATTACCTGTCTCTACCCAATAACTGGGATTCCCTCCCTTGGAGAAGTATCCTCAGTGTGAGAGGATACCATGACATCCTCTGGAAGGAGGGTCCCAATTATGGGATTGTTTCCCTCCGCTCCAGTTTGATGTTCTTCTTCGTCAAGACTTTCTTCCTTCCTAATAGCACAGAGGCTGTCAGACCAGGGGTGGGACCTCTCTACTGTATCCCAGAAAGTCCCATCTATGTTCCCAGATGTATTTCCTGGCAGGTGGCAGTATTAAAATGTATTTTGTTGGATTGTAACCATATAAATAGGTGATTTAGATCACTCTAACGGTAACCTGTCCTCCTCATTATTTACTACCCCACCAATCTTTGTGTCATCTGCAAACTTTAAGAGCAAAGATTTTTACATCATCAGCTAGATTGTCGATAAAAATATTAGATAATGTTGGCCCAATAACTGATCTCTGGGGAACCCCACTAGAAACAGCCTCAGTCATTGATATCATCCTATTAACAATTACATTTTGTGATCTGTCTATAAACCATATTAACCCATCTTGTAGGTGCGCTGTTAATGCCATCTAATGTATGTTTTTAATCAACGTGTCATGATGTACTAAGTCAAATGCCTTAGAGAAATCCAAGTATACAATATCAGCACAGTTACCTTATTAACAAGACCGGTAATCCTTTCAGAAAAAGGCAATGGGTTGGTTTGATGAGACCTACCTTCCAGGAAACCATGCTGATTGGCATTAATTATATGTTTAGCTTCTAATTCTTTCTTTGAGTCTTGAAGAAATTATTTTACCTGGGATCGATGTCAGGCTAGCCAGTTTACAGTTCCCTGGGTCATTCTTTTTAAACATTGGCGCTTCACTGCCAGTCCTCCAATCCATTGGATCTTCCCAGTTTTCAAATATCTGTTAAAGATTAACTTGAGTGGCTCAGAGCACTCTTCGGCTAGTTCATTTAAGACTTCTGGGTGCAAGTTATCTGGGCTTGTTGATTTGAAAATGTTTAATTTTAGTGGATTCCGTTTCACATCCTCTTTTGCTACAGATGGTAAACTTTCGGTTCTATCCGCAGCATCATATGGGATGGACACATCCTCCTCCTTTGTTCCAAATACAGAACAGAAATCTCTTTTGAACACTTCAGCCTTTTCTACATCACTATTTACAATTTTGCCATCTGCGTCTAGCAGAGGACCTATGCCTAACCGAAGGGTTTTGTTTGTTCCTAATATGTTTCCTTATTGTCTTTAACCTTATAGGTCATTGATATTTGATTGATTCCTTTACCTTCCCTTATCACTTACATTTTTAATTTGTAACTTATAGTCACTGATATTTACTTCTTCATTTGTCCATCCTTTATATATTGATTTCTTATGTTTATATTGCTACCACTGTAGAAGTAATCATAATAATCAGAAAATCATTTGCTAGTGTTTTGTTCTAAATATCTATATGGTAGGGCTTCCATCACTTCTCTTTGGAAATGGACCAGTGACAAATCTTTTGTAAATTAGAAAACCTATTAGGCTTTTGGGTGGGCTTTTATCACAGGAGATGCTAAATAAAACAGATTCTTTGGTACAAAAGACAACTTCTTATACCTCTGTCCCTAAAATTAGAGTCTAGTAAAGCTATATTTAGGCATCCAATGAAAAGTTATGATTTTCAGAAGTGCTGAATACCCGTAGATCTCACTGAGTGAAAACTGGGACCCATATTCAAGTGCCTAAATATAGGTTTTTGTGCCTAATTTTAGGCACCAAAGTTTGAAAGCTTTAAAGTTCTGGTCCATGTAAAGTCCTTTTTAAACTGAACACTGCAGTAGCACCTAGACCAAGTAGAGAAGAACAGGATGCCAAAAGAACTTCCTAGAACACCTTTACACATCTCCATATTACAAAGACATACGGTACCTAGCAGTGATTAAACGACTGTATACAAACTACTGTCCAATGAATAATGTTTCCACTTATAGGTCCTTAATAATAATACACTAATATGCATGCAACAATACGATGGAGTGAATACATTAATTAAATGCTAGTCAACATGACTAACACAAATACTAAATTGGGCAGAATTTCAATACAAAATGTTTAATATGTGGTGGTTAATTTGTTCTCTATGTGTTTACATATTTATAGTTAATTAAAATTACTTGCACCAATAAAGAATTCCTCAGAAGTCCACTCCAGTGGAGAGCATAACTGGTGGAGCCCATGTTCTCGTAATTTAAATTGTTCTGGGGATGAGTTTTTAATTTGCCATAAATAGTTTATGCTGCATCCTTTATTCCTGTATTATTCATTTTCCAGTTAAATCCAAGGCCAGTGGTGTCTTCGGGGAACAGATTAAGGACAGACATAAGCAAGGAAATATGTTCTTTACCCCACCATTCAGACTGCTTCTGGAAAGCATGTAAGGAAACTCCTGTACATTGATAGCCTTTGGGAGGGGCTACAGCTGCGTGGGAAAATGGTTTTCCCAGGATAAAAAAAAATCCTAAATGTTTGTGAACCAAAAAAGTTTTAACTTCTGGTCTCTACAGAAACATTCCATTTCAAAATGATTGAAATGGTTCATTTCAATTTGAACCATTTTTTAATTTAATTTTATTTTTTTACCATAAATTACATTTTGAAATGAAAAGTTCTTTCAAACAAACAAACAAACAAAAAATCAGAACTTTTCATTTTGAAAATGTTGACATGGGATGTTCTTGACAACTTGGAACTTTTTTTAAAAAAAATGAAAAATTCGTTGAAACCAAGCCCTACCCACAAAAAGTTTCAATTTAAACAAATCAGCATTTTTCAATGACAAAATGCTTAACTGAAAAATTGCCAAATAGGCACATTCCCTGAATTAAGCAACATTTTTAATCCATGGCTCTTTTACTCCTAACATATTTTAAATCTCTCAATTTTTGGACAGTTTACAAGAGAACATGCACATAGTACTTCCTGGTGAATATCCACCTTGCTGAGAAATAGATACAGTATCTACATTAGACAGTCTAATGTTAACTTCTATTTTTAATCTGAAGAAGTATCTTGACAAAAGCACATTGCATGCCATGATCCAAGCCCAGTACAGTCAATGGGAGGTTTTCCATTGATTTCAAAGGGCTTTAGATCAGCACCTGAAATATAAAGGCGGAAAAACTAATGTGGAACCCCAAGTGGTTTGGTTTCAAATAAGCCAAGTATAGTTTGGCTCCTTTAAACATGAAGCTCTTTCAAATTTACTGATCCTTTTCCCTGCTTCCTTCTCCATCCTCTCCAGATCCTTCCCTTTCCCCCAGTCTGACAAGAGACAGTTCTCCAGATGACCAGTGGGCTCGTCTCTTCATCATGTTCCTCTCTCAATAAACTCACCTACCTTTGGCAAGATCCCATTGAGTCCATCATGGAGTATGTCAGCAAGTCTGTCACAGCTGAGCCAGTTTAGAGGCATCCTAGCAAATTAATTAATAATATATTTTTTAAAAAAACCCAACAGAATTCCGTTCCCATTATTCTGAAATTTCTCCTGGTCAACCAGATGCGCAAGCCTATTGTGTGATCTTCCACAAAGGAACTGACAAGAACAGAGTCCCCAATTATTAACCTTTCCACATGTTTCCATAGTTTATTGTGACAAGACAATGCAATAAACTTGAAGGTAATCAAAAAGCAATTTTGTAGTAGTAAGCTTAAGATGACAAACCTTTTCTTTTGTAAATAAATCACCATTATTCCTTCATGGTTCCCACTTGACAGGTGTGTTTCCTTAGTAACAGAGTGCTTAACAGGGGCTGTGTGTGAACATTATCCCTTTAGCCATAAAGAGGAGACAATGGGACGAAAAGTGGTCCCTCTCCCTTCATTGGACTGTGATTTAAAATATTTATCAATAAGATAATCTTAGAAGACAAGGAGTGATTTTTTGCAGCACACGTGCGCTAGTCTCCAGCATTCCATTTGTGCATTTAGTGGCGCTGATGGACTCTAAGGGGTCTCAGACTCCATACCTACACTAAATTTAACACTCTCTGATGTTTGTTCAATAGCTCAGCTAATGGTAAGGTCAGCTGTCTTATAAATTATTGAGCAGATTAACAGTGTTAGGGCTACAGTATAAATAAAGGATGTGCACTAGACAAAGACATACAGTGTGTCTGGCTCAAAGACAAAAGAATGAACAGACAGAAGGAAAGGTTAATTCACGGTGGATACATGTGGGGTGCTTCTGCTCTATTTTATTCTGTAATTCAGGGACTACGGCAGCTTTGCTACTGTGTTTGGCTCTGGCTACCTAGGACCCAATGCTGCACAGCGCTGTGCGCTCTCAACTTGCATTTAGGATCAGTCCGATACACACGTGAACGCAAGCCCCTCTTGTTATCTACGCTCAGTGGTCTGCTGGTTCTATTCCATCACACATCAACATGTTAACTGCACCCCTTCACTGTACTGCCCATCTATGCAATTATTCCTTTATCATGTATTCTTTTGACGGGGACACAACTTTTCCAACAGCAGCATAAAATGGTGCAGGGCAGATTGATTTTTAAAGGTCTAGTCTTTCAACTGATCTTCTAATATTCTCCTTCTCTTCAGCTGCTGCATTTCAAATCCTTATCGGATATCTGTATAAGCAGGACATCGGCATAGGAGTGCCATGCGGAGCCAGCACATCAATGACTTGTTTAGATCAGATATTGGGGAAGCCAGCTTTTCTCTATTCTGATGTTGATATACCAGTATGTGACTTTAGTGCTCATGAAAGGTATCAAATTGACGTCCCTACAGAGTCCTCTATTTATTCACAGAACATATACAACACGGGCAGGAGTAGGGCTGGCTTCGCTACTATGTCACTAGCATGCCTCCACCCTCAACTGATCAGACCAGTGGGAGAGGGCAGTTTGACTTCAGTGGTCCATCCAGTCCTCAGCCTCTCTACTGAGGCTGCTAGAAAATGGGCCACTTGAGGGATTTTCTGCAATGTGCTCTTACCTGCTGGGAACTGGGCTGAGTTTGGCCAGCTCATGTCACACAGGATACCAAAGAGCCATCAGCTAGCAAAAACCTTCAGTCACTACCAACCTGGGGTGGTTTCAACTAACGACCTACACTGAAATCCTGGCTCCACTGAAGTCAATAGGAGTTTTGCCATTAACTTCAATGGGGCCAGAATTTCACCTCTAAATTTGAAAAGCTCTTTATCCATATTGCCCATCCACTCCATCAGTGGCATCAAGTTTAGCCAGAACCACATGGAGGCGTAAACATGCAAATCAACTGGGGGAAAATGGAGTTTTGGAGGTAAAACAATAACATGCACTGATAATGAGACCCATTCCTTTAATCCTGGAAATTAAGCTGGTCTTTCCTTTTAATATTCTGAAAAATATAACTTGCTAAATCTGAATTACAAGCTTAATAACATATTTGCCCAAACATTCTTGGATGAACTATCAGTTTGGAAGAGACACCAGATTAAATTAATCAGAAAACATGTTGCAGAGTAATTTAGAAAATATTAAAATGTCAAACTCTCTCCAAATCCTTCCTGTGACGTGCAGGAGAAGATATTGTTGTTCAACTCAATAATTCCATAGCATGTTTTTCCCCCTTGTCTTCCTCCCCATATTATCTTCTCTTATAATTGTCTTTTGCTACAGGAGAGAAGCAAACGGATCCAGTATTAAACATTTTCTCCTGAAGTGCTGAGTCCTTTGCCTTTACTCTCACCAGGTCTGAAGAGATTTTTCAGGAAGCCATAGATGACTTCTCCCCAAATACAACCTCCATCTTCCCAAACAATGGGCACTCCCCCCAAGGGTTACATTCGGTTCCCCTTCCTCTCTGGTACATGTGAAAGGGGTTGCACAAGATTTAAGGGAGAGTAGACTCTGCCCGTCAATCTTTGGCGTCTAAAATGAGAAAAGTTTGCCTGTGAGGAAATAGCACACAACATTAGAGGG